TACTATTTGGATCACTATTCGGTGGTTGCTATTCGAGAGAGTATTATCCAGTAAGTACTATTAGTGCAAGTCCTATTCGAAGGCGTTTGACACCAGTAATGTTCAACGGCGTTACTATAGTTGTATCTGCGATTACAGAGCCTCTACTACAACGAGTATTACGAAAGTGACAACCGGTGTTCGTTGACATTACAAAAATTGATTCCACACACACACCCCATCGATCGATAGGAGTAACTTTTAACTTTGAGTGGCTCTTACGCCTTGTATGCGTGAATAAAACATAATTTAGCAAGTTTTTTTTTGTGGATATCCATATTTGTGCAGACAATCTGTTTATTTTTAAAAAGTGTATTTATTTATTTTCATCTATACAGTTGAAAAATGTTATTTCAAGAGAAAAATATGAGTCTCCCGTCTTGCTTGTCCTCTCGGCCACGAAGCACGTCCGTGGGTATTCACTAAATCAACGTTTAAGTAATAAAATCTGTCTGGATTAATAATTAAAAAAATCCATCGCTTCTTCTACGACGTGTATAGGATACCCTTCTACAACGTGTATTTGAGAATACACGTCTACTAGGGCAGCTAGCCAATCCCTCTTGCAGACGCTTGCTCAGGCGCATTTGTGTTTATTCAACACCCATAGAGCCCACCTGTGGTTTATACTGCAACTATGCTGAGCAGAATTTAGTTACAGTTTCTGAGAAAGAGCCTTTTATCTAGCGTGATCAACAATTTGAACAAGGCCACGATGAATTGGGATCAGTCTACCCAATTTCACTCACAATGCTTGGATCAACTCATAGTATAGTTTTTAAAAGGTGCTGCACGCTGACAAATAGACTATGGTGAGATTCGAACACAGGTCTCATGGTCAGAATGCAAACGTTCTAACCATTCGGCCACTACGATGTGTAGGATTTTTCTTAAAGACACTATTCATCTCTGTTTACGAAAATAAATAAATATTACTGTTTAATAAATAAACAGAGCGTCTACTTAAATAAGAGTATCCGCTAAAAATAATGATAAATTTATAGGTATTAGCCCCGTACACCAATTGTAATAAAAATTTCCTGAAAATTTGCATTTCGGTGTAAATTTATATGGTTATTTCGAAAATAATAGTAAAAATTTGCGGAAATCTACTGTTTACGAGTTATCGACAATAAAATTTCAGACACATTCACGTCGCGGCTACAACACGTCAGTCATTACTGGCGTTGTTTACATACGTTTGCTTCGAGTAGTCATGCGTGGAAGTTTCACTTGTCTTGATTATTGCGTACGCAATGCGCAAACTTTGCGCGAGATATAGAAAGAGTATGAGTACAAAATAAAAAAAATATGCCAGAAAAAATTAATAATAAGAACAATTTTAAGGTTCAAAACTTGTAAATTAAAATTTGTTTTAGTATTTAAACAAGAATTATCAAAATTTGTATTATTTTTTGTTTTATTATTTAAATAAGAATTTGTTATTATTACAGCTGCACTATAAAAAAACTACACTTGTCATTGCTTTTCTAAATAAACAATTTTTTTTAAAAACAATCAATAAAAGCTTCACTTTCAAAAGTGTCTAAAGACTTCTTTTGGTTTTGTGCAATAATTGAGACGTGTAAGAAGATAGGAAAATGAGTAAAAAGGCCGTTAACTAAGTAAGCTTCCGCGCATGCTTACTCGAGGGAAACATATGTAAACAACGCCAGTAATGGCGGACGGACCCGATGCGAATGACCCCGAGGTTGTATTGCCAAATATCGCCAAAACGGTAGATTTCCGCAAACTTTTACTGTTATTTTCGAAATAAGCACGGAAATTTTATATTTTAATTTAAATTTTAATTACAGTTGGTGTAAATTTAGCAAAAACAATAATGTTTTAAAGTTATTAAATTTGTTTGATTAATAGATAAAAATCCATCACTTCTTTAGGAATTGCTCTGTTTAAGTTAGGATTCGAAACGGAACATATATATATATATATATATATATATATATATATATATATATAAAAGAGAGATAGATAGATAGATAGATAATATTAGTGATCAATATATATATATATATATATGAAGAAAAATATACTGTCGGATCTATATCCATATATTTGCTTATATATATATATATATATATATATATTCAGAAAAGAATTTCAAAAATGCTCATGTATGGTCAACTTGACAATAGTCATCGAAACGTGGGTCGGCCTTTGCTTAGGTACAGGGACAGGCTGAGGAGTATAAATCACACTACCTTTGAGAACATCGTAATTGATCGTAATGAATGGAAGATTACATGTACAATGGCATCAAGAACAAGGCAGCATTAAAAATTGTCAAGCTTCGTCAAACTAGGGAAAGGAATAAAATATCTGCTGCTGTTCCAGCCATATACTCCAAGAATCCACACTCTTGCACAATCTGTGGACTTCTTTGCAAATTACTAGCGGGACTTGCGACTCACACACAAGGTTAAATAAACTAAGTTGTTGGAACCTTATACGTCGAAACCGACAGGAGAGTCCATATATATATATATATATATATATATATATATATATATATATATATATATATATATGGAGAGTCCATAATATATATATATATATATATATATATATATATATATATATATAAATTTCAAGAGGATAGAATCCAGGTAGAACTCAATGTCCAGGAAAGAGTAAGAATATAATATAAAAGGCTCAAACACTAATATTCCATGGTTATAATTTATTACACTGGAATCGTAATCACGATCCAATTCATCAAATTCAAAAAAGCTTGCTACAAATTCGAAAAGCTTACTTTGTTAACTGCCATTTACTCATCTTCATCTTTGAATTTGTAGGTCTGTAATTATATATATATATATATATATATATATATATATATATATATATATATATATATATATATATATATGGAAAGATTTGGGTTTAAAGTCACTATTCATCTTTGTTGAATCCCTGACGCACTTCATGGTCGGAAGGTTTAAGTCACGTCGTATCTAACAGCGGTTTACCCTGTCCAGGGAGACACGGGTTCGTATCCTACCGAAGAGCGCTAATTTTTTTTAACAAGTTCCTTTATAAATTGCCACCTGGCATCAAACAACTCCTTTGACTTCAAGAGAAACTCTTTAAAAGTATTTTATATTATGTATAGACTTGCTTCCCTAAATCGAGATTAATCAAAAACTCTTGCCTAACATTTTACAAACTCCTGGTCTATGAAGTCTAAATATCTCACATTGAATGTATTTCTATTGTAAAAATAAAAAAAATAGAATAAAAAAATAAGGAGGATGGAAGGCCAAGAACATCTGAGAAAAACATCGATCGTTTGAGACAAGCCTTTCAACGTTTTCCTACAAAGACCATTCGTACTAGTGTCAGTTATAGCTGCCATGTCCAAAAGTACATGTCCTACACAAGAACTTATGATTGGTCGTTTACAAAATGTAACTCTTACAGGCATTCAAGTCAAATGATAAACAATTGATGAGGTTTTTCTACTGTTACAATTTTTGGATACATTAGACTAATAGTAAGCCAACCCAGATGACTTGACTCACTTTATAGTCCACCAACAGAAGGTTAACCAATCAGAAGACGTAGAATATTCAAACCGTCGTGTATAAAGGCGGCCATTTTGTTTACTCTATCCGAATGTCCAGTGCCAGCTTGTCAGGCGAAGAGAACCAGAAGGAAGAACTACGCTCTGCTACTTTACCGGGATATCCACTACTAACCTGAACAACGCTCCCCTACTGTCTTCGAAATATTCACTGCTAACCTCTGGATTTTATACTCAAAGACGACCGACATCATGAACAACGTCTACAGCGAACAACGGCAAGAAATCGAGTACCGTCTTGATTTGTTTCCTATAAATAATAGTTCCTATATAGAGGTGGATGAAATTCGTTGAAAAACAAACTTCAATATCTACTTCTCATTTTGTAATAATTTCCACGTATTTTTCTGTTTATTTGCTTTTGTAATAATTTCTTTAAATTGTAAAGATACCTTATGGACATCTTGAAATTATTCTTATGTGTCCACCTGAAACTCTAAATAGCAGGAAATGTTTAAAATACGTAAATGAAAGGAATAAACGCACAGACTTTTTATTTGTGGTTTCCACTATCATCAGGTCTTATGACATGCTGGTGTAGCCGGAAATAATGATTCTTGTGGGCTATAGTGACAGAACATGTTGGTGTGAACCATGGAAAAGATTGAACTTTCACCTGATTACAGAGTGATCAGAGTTGCCAGTTACATCTGCCACGTTCAAAAAGTTCTACACAAGAACTTGTGATTGGTCGTTTACAAAATGCAAATTTTACATGCATTCAAGCCAAATGATAAACAATTGATGAGGTTGTTCTACAGCGAACAACGGCAAGAAATCGAGTACCGTCTTGATATGCTTCCTGCAAATAATGGTTCCTATATAGAGGTGGATGAAATTCGTTGAAAAACAAATTTCAATATCTACTTCTCATTTTGTAATAATTTCCACATATTTTTCTATTCATTTGCTTTTTTTTTTTAATTGTAAAAAGACTTTATGGACAACATGTATAGGCTTCTTCTTTTCTTTTAGTACATCTCAAACATTGTTCGCCTTGTTCCCCTTTTTGCCTAGGTCTGTACGACTCGGCACAGTGCAGTATAATAACAACAAAGGTGAGGAATTTATTCCGGATGTAAGTAGGAGTGAATGATTATTTTTTACGGCTTACCAACCTTTTGCGTTTATTTAAAGCCAGAAAATATTTTTAGATTTGTTGGGAGATAATAATGATTTACTGATACAAGAACTATTAATTAACCCATAGCAGGGGGAGAAAAGACGGATTCATACCTTTTCCAATGGTATTTGCGCGTAAGTGAATTTAACGAACCCGAGTGGAATTGGAACTCGGCTCATCAATTTCCAATTCCATGCCGTTATCCATTACACCACCTGCACATCCAAGCTTATGACATCTGGTATACCCAAGTGGTCACACATCTAGGTACTGACCAGATTTGACGTTGCTTAACTCCGGTGATCGTACAAGAACCGGTGTTTCAACATGATATGGCCGTAAGCCGAATGTAGGTACAGCAAATAATAAATTGTTTGTTTTAAAATAACAAAATGACGTCATGAGTTGAAAAAGTTTTCTAAGAAATTCGGTGAAATAAAAAAAAAAAGAAACGTTTTCATTCCTGTCTTCTGACATACAAAGAAAAAATGTCTTGTAATTTTGTGGGACTGGTTATAATTTAATTTTCTTCTTTTTAAATCCTGTTTTCCTGTTTTCTTGGGTGGAATTTAGTATCTTATTTAAAAAGACATTGACTAACGAGTTAAGCTGGGTAGAAATAACGATAAGCCATGTATTGGCCGGACCCGTACAAATGTCCATCCACGAAATGAGGCGAGCATCGAAAATGTGCTGCAAATTGTGCTGGTGATGATATAGAAAATACAGTGGAACCTCGGTTCACGAATTTAATTCGTTCATGAAGCCCGTTCGTAACCCGAAATGTTCGCAAACCGAATATATTTTTCCAATAGGAATCAATGTAAAATAAACTAATTCGTTCCTGGTCCCAAGATGATTGCTTAACTTTAGCTACAGTACTTTGTGCAGTACTTTTTGTAATGGGTAGCGGCTCGGATTGAGGAATCGGAGAGCCGATTTCGAGTCAAATTCTTATGTGCTAATAACGTTGGGAAAAAGTATGAATTCTCTTTTTCTCCCCCAAGCTATGGGTAAATATCAGGACAGACCGGGTTCTAAAGCCTTGGATGGCAACTGTTTTATCAGTTTTTATGCACAAAACTAATGAAAATCATTAATCTAAGAAAAAAAAATCCTCAAACACTTTAGTTTTACCGTCCCTGTATGTAGGAGAGTTGATGGCGTAAGTGGGAAGGGAAGGAATGAGGTTATTGTTTGGAAAAGGGAAGGAAAAACATGATCGTTTCTATTTATAAGAATAGTATAGATCGTTGATTTTGCCATATGAAACTAAGTAGGAAGAGCAAATATTATCAACAATTGTTTTTCTCTTAACTTTTCTTTTTCCTTTACCAGTATCTCTGCTAGATTTCTTTGGAGCCATGACTGAGGACTAATGAAGAGAAAAAAAAAAGGCACAGTACAATAACATTGGAAAAGAAAAGCACAGCACAACACACTAATGTATACAAAATGGCGGTCGACTAAGAAATGATTCCGTTTGGGTTAATTCGGATCGGCTCGGTTCAGCAATGTTATTCGAGAACAAAAATTTTGTTTGATAACCGAGGCATTTTTATCTCAGATATTCTGTTCGAAAACCGATTTGTTCGAGATGTGAGACGTTCAAAAACCGAGTTTGCTCTGTAGATGTGTAGCTAAAAATATATGAGATCCTATACCGTTACAACAGAAGAGAGCTATGGAAAAAAAAAGATTTATTCTCTCATTCGACCGGATCTTTAATTACTGGGAATTTTGCCGTTCAATTGGAGCAGTGTAAGTTTAAAGTCAGTCCACCCGAAAATTAACATTAGTAACAACAATTGGGTGCAATTGAGGCACATCCCAAAATGAGGGGGTAACAATTTGAATAGAGGGAAGGAACGTCTTCAATAGAACGTCATAATAATAACATACGATAATTTTTATTTATAACTAGCTGTAGAGCCCGGCATTATAAACTAATAAACAGTAAGAGATAGATCAAGTATCCACCATCATAAAGACTGAAAAATAAAATTGACAAAAATTATTGTTTAAGGTTGATGGACACGCATGTCTTAATTAGTTTTTTTTTGTTTTTTTGTTTGTTTTTACGAATTGGTCAAACCCAAACGCAAACAATCGTTATCAGTTTTCCGATTGAGTAGAATTTTATTATAATCAATTGTCTTGTAAATGGAATTTTTAAAGCATTTTGAATGTAAAAATAAAGAAAAAAGTGTGCAAGACAATAAGTAACACTACCTGCAAAAAAACTGAAGTTTTGTTGAAATCTGTTGAAAAATGTACTAAATCTGATCCCATATATAAACAAACACACACACACTCACAAACAACCTGGGTTATAATAAGTATAACTCGATATGAGTTGTCCCCCTCTCATTCTGGCGACAGTGATGCCTGTCAATCGTGTTTTCAAATTGATTTCGAGCAAAAACAATAGTGTTTTTCTAATTTTTGGTGCTGTCAGAACCACCGCAAGGTAATTTTACGTAGTCCTGTGAAGTTTTGTTGAAATCGGTTGAAAAATGTAAGAAATCACACACACACACAACCTGTGTTTTATAATAAGTATGATATAACTTTTTTTTATAATTCTAATAATCTTTTGCGTTAGATTTCAACTCTCTAAATTGATGGTACACTGTTTTTTTTTTGTTTTTTTTACAGACATTAAATTTTATCTTTGATTTTTGTGCAAAGTGTTAAAAATCATTTTTTTTTTTAGATTTTCACCTTCAAGGTTTTAATTTTTTCGGCCAATTTGAACTCAAAACCGGCACTGAAGAATATCAAACAAACAAAAAAAAAAAAAAAAGACAAGGGCATCGAAATCGGATGAAAACTGTGAAAACGTATAAAAAACATTTGATCACACACACACACATACACATACATATATGTTGAGAATTATAGATATAGATTCTTGTCCATATATGAATACTACAATGAACTCCTTTCCTGGAGTAAGAGGAATTGTAAAATATGATTATATTCATTTCTCTGTTGGACTGATTTATTTCAATCATCTTATTGTATAGACCATTGTGTTATCATTTCTTTTTTCTTTTCGCTCTTTCTTAAATTCCTTTCTTTCTTTATCTTTTTCGCACTGTTTTTAAATTTATTTCATACTTCTTTCTTTCATTCACCTTTTTTTACTTTCTTTTGTTATAGTGATTTTCCAAGCGTAGCTTAGATGTGGCATAAGGCCGAATGTATGGAGATCCCAGTGAGGAACGAACTCATTACTCAGTTGTAACTGTTCTAGCGAGACAAGCAATTACTCTGCCTCGAGGTGCTTTGAAAAAATGATTTTCTAAGCATAGCTTAGATGTGGTACAACGCTGAAAGTGTGGAGCACCAAGTGAGGAAGGAACACACTGTTCAGTCGAGACGAGCTTGTTAACCATTACACCATGTCGAAATGACTTTATTTCTTCTGTTATATCCACAGCTTTCTGAATTGATTTTTTTTCATTCGATCTTGCTTTCAATCTTTTAGTCATTGTTACTTTAACTTTTTCATTTTTTTTATTTATTACTTTCTTCATTCATTCATTCTTTCTTTCTTTCTTTCTTTCTCTCTTTTCTTTTCTTTTGTTTTTTATTGTCTATTTATCTTTTAAGTCCACTTTTATTCTTTCTTTCTTTCTTTCTTTCTTTCTTTCTTTCTTGTATTTCTTTATTTCACTACTTGCTCTTTTTCTTTCTTTCTTCCTTTTTCTTTCTATTGTTATATCCTACTTTCTAGCTTACTTTGTTTTTGCATTCGTTTTTTATATCATTCTTGCGGTTATTTGCTCTTTTTTGTACCTTCTACTATCTATCTATCTATCTATCTATCTATCTATCTATCTATCTATCTATCTCACTCTGTTCATATCTATCTATTTATTTTAGTCTACATCTATTCTATCTATCTATCTATCTATCTATCTATCTATCTATCTATCTATCTATCTCACTCTGTTCATACCTATCTATTTAATTTAGTCTACATCTATCTATCTATCTATCTATCTATCTATCTATCTATCTACCTATCTATGTTTATATCTATCTCTGTTCATATCTATCTATCTATCTATCTATCTATCTATCTATCTATCTATCTATCTATCATATCTATCTATTTATTTTAGTCTACATCTATCTATCTATCTATCTATCTATCTATCTATCTATCTCTGATCATATCTATCTATCTATCTATCTCTCTCACTCTGTTCATATCTATCTATTTATTTTAGTCTACATCTATCTATCTATCTATCTATCTATCTATCTATCTATCTATCTATCTATCTCTGATCATATCTATCTATCTATCTATCTATCTATCTATCTATCTATGTTTATATCTATCTCTGTTCATATCTATCTATCTATCTCTCTCACTCTGTTCATATCTATCTATTTATTTTAGTCTACATCTATCTATCTATCTATCTATCTATCTATCTATCTATCTGTACTTGCCTGATGGGCTAAGCTTTTAAATATTTGAATGTATCAGCATCAACTGATCCCGTTCAAGTGTAAGTCAAGATATGAAACCTTCCGATTCCAAACGATTTTTCAGTTTATGTTGGTGATTTGCAAATTGAATTTGAATTCATTCTCCCCCTTTCCCACATATAAAACACTCACAATCATGGAAAATCTACGCGTTTTTCGCATGATCAATTTGTGGTAAAATATCTTAAAGTGATTCACGATTTGCCCAAACCTCGGTCATGTTCATATTCGGCCCCAGAGAAAGATTTCTCATTCAATCAACAGTTGTCTACTCGAGGCTGTGGTTGATGAAAAGGGCGGAATCGTGGACGACGTTTGCCCCGGTTGTAGTGGTGCCAACACGAATAAACAGCTAAGTAGAGATATCCTGTTTATTCCAATTGCTCGAACCTGCACTTACGAGTTCGAGTGGAAATTTGTCGGTCAGCGTCCAAGATACTGAAAGACAAAGAAGTTGAGTTCTATTAAGAATGGCAGACGCCATTGGTAACCTTGAAGCGAGGCAGTTTATGTACAGTTTGGGTCACATCACTATCTATCTATCTATCTATCTATCTATCTATCTATCTATCTATCTATCTATCTACAAACCTCCAGTATCATTTCCTCTGGTAATCTTCAACTGCAACTCTCATTTCAACAACTGTTTCAGGTTTCCTGCTGTAAAATCTGTCTTTTAGAAACTCCTAAAAAAAGAAATCCAAGGGTGTCAAATCTGGTGATCGAGGTGGATATCCATCTGTTTTGCATATTTTCATCCATATAAAAAAATGTATTATTAACTATTAATATTTAAAGAGTGTATATATTATTTTGGGACACGCTGTATAAAT